TATCTGTAAATGCTGTATGACTGCTTATCGATTAAATAAAATCATGAGGGATCTGCAAACTAATATAAAATAATTACGGCCGGTCTCGAATCTGATTGGCCGATCATCTCGTGATTTATAGAAACTCGTCAGTGTCTGGAACTCTCGAGGAACTGGGTCGTAGGCGCTTCACACAGGGAACTAAGGAAGATCTCTCGTGATACAAATTTTTATGTTATACATCATGCGAAACTTCTTTAGCTAATCCCTGTTAATCACGAGAGATCCACAAACCACATGTAAATATAAAATTAGTTTAGCCGATATATATGACCCTATATAAACCTCCCAATATGCTTGTAATCGAATAAAAATGAATCTGATATTTTATTATCATATACTTGCTACAAACTGCTATAACAAGAAATATTCGCTAAAAACGCTATATATCATTAAAATTGCTATAAACCCCTACACCTGTAAAATGGTTAGAACCAACTACCAATATGGTTTATTTCCTGAGGTTGTAAAAGCGTTAACCAATTTACATTATAGATATAATGATGAAACACCAGAAATGTGGTGTTCACGTATTCGTTATCCATTCAGAAAACTTATCGAATATAACCCTAAATTCTTCTCCAAGAATGAATTTATTCACATGACTGAAAGAGAATATAAAGATGGGGAATTTAGACCTGGAAGATATACATTTCATATTTATTGCACTGCGTGTGATTCCTTAGTATTTATCTGTGATAATACTGAGAAATGCGCAAATAAGCATCTGAGTGAATGCATTTCTAAAATAGAGCTAAGACGTATCGTATATGTTAGATCTATATTATTGAAACGAAAAATTAAAAAAGGACTTAGTCCCGATGAGATTAATAAGCTTTATGGTGTTTATTTATCATATAGAAAAAGCTATGAAGGTACTGCTTCTAACACTCCTGAAGGGAAGAAATTTATGAAAAGAATGGCATATCGCGTTTTAAATAGTGCGAGAGCTATCCAACAGGCTTGGTGGAATTATAAGTTGGGACCTGAGACGAGGGCACAGCGAGACTGGAATATGGTGAGAAATGATGGTACTCCTGATAGAAAGAAATATTTAGGTATGATTAGTAAAGGACAAATGGTAAAAAACCCTGAGACGCAAGAAGAGTATGCTATAGCCTGCGATGAATTTTATGCTTTATTTAGGGAAAATTACTCACAATATATTGGAATAATTGATCCAGCCAAATGTACTCCACCATATGAGAAATATGTTTATTGTTCTCCTAGTAGCTGGATAGAAGCTAAGAAACAACAGTTAAGACGACGGTTAGATAAGGTATTATACGGACATAAACCCAATTTCTCAGGAAGAGAATTTCAGTTTAATTTGCTATCTACTATTAACTATTATCATACGACCGACAACTATATCAAGATGATCTATCCGATGAAAAATGCAAGAATAAAATAAATATTACTTCGCTAAAATATATTTATCTATTTAGGATCCTTGATTATTTTACTTTGCTCCGCCACAATGTATGTAGGCATGTGCGACATAAATTAGCACGTTTTGGGATCCTCATTAAAGTGTATATGATGTAATGAGTGATACATCACAAATCATCTGTATATCTGTACGATTGTCTGTACGACTGTTTGTACGACAAAATAATTAGAAATCGATTCCCAAAAAATATTTTGAATTTTTTCCCTATCTATCTGAATAGCATTTATTTATGAGTTTATTTTTTCCGATGCTACAGGCTATTCCTACTAAATTTTGACTGGAGTATATTTATATAATGTTAGTAGGCCTTTATTACTGAGTGGTCAGACAAGTGAAATAAAGAAAAAAAGTATGTATATACATACCCCCAGCGCCTTAAGACCAATGCATATAAGTGTGTACAACATAAATTAACACGTTTTCGATCCTTATTAAAGTATATACTGTTGAGATTTTCAATGCACATTCCGCATGTCCTTATTCTCGAACACAAACTTTCGGCGTAAGGGTCTGTTGCATATTCTCTTATCTCTTCTCTCCAACATGAATACAAGCCCAGAAAGACATAAATGGAATTATTTAAAAGGATAGCATACGAAATTTTTCATTCAGGTCGCTTATTCTATATTAATAATACTAAACTATGTCTTCTGAACTATATTCAAAAATTTACAATTTTTTAGTAACAGCTAAACAAGAACATATTACCGCCACCTCAGTTATTTATCAGGGAATAGAAGACGACCCCTGGATTTCGCAAAATGATTTGAGAAGTATTGTAGATCAGGCTATAGGATTTGCTAGTAATTTGTATGCCAAAGAACCTATGCGTCAATTAAAACTACTTCGAATACTTCCTCAGGTTAGTTGTTAACCTTTATTAATATTTTTTTCACTAAATGATGATATTATGTGATCTACTCTCAGAAACGGGGCTGAAATGATAGTGTAATCATCCTATTAGCCTGCACCTAAAGAAACTATTTTCTTGAACTGTATGGAGGGTGGTTTAAACTATCGCCTATGTTTTTAATCATTCCATTAGCTCTGCCCCAAGAATAATTCTCGATGCATGAGGGAGTGGTTGGTCCATAGGATATTATGTAGTTATTTTAGTATTACACAAGGTTTCATCAGCGTGATGGCTACACTAAGATGTTAACGTTGCATATGTACTGATAGCGCATGCATTTTTTAATGATGGAATTCTTGTATTACTGAAACTAATGCATCATCTATTAATATTAGTTTGAAATCGCTTTTGAAGGAGTCTGCAGTTTGCGTGACATAGGAGCGGTCAAAACAAATAAAGAGATACCTCTAAACACGGATGATATAAAGAAAAATATAAATGAGTTGAAGGCCAAACTCAAGAAAAATACAACGACGCCGATTAACCAGCATCTATACTATGGTATAAATAGTGTGAATATTTCTGAATTATCATGGATGGACCCTCTAGCTAGTCAAGTAATTTCAGACGAGTCGGAAATTGTACAAAATCTACCAGGGCAATTTAAGCATACTTTTATGAAACCAGCACGACAAATGGTACCTTCATCTCTCCCGTCTGCAGTGAAAAGGAAATGTAATGAATTTGTTACTACTTTCATTGAGAATCGTGAAATTGATTTACCAAGAAAACTTATACATGATGGGACATGGAAGGAAACAGAGAATGAGCTCGCAATAGTTGCAGAAAGAATTTTAAACACATTGTAGGTATTTTTTATGATATTTTGTAATATCTAGTTATTTTCTGCTCACTGCTTATGTTTTTTATGAATATTAGAAGCGATTCTTGGAATAATCCAGCATTTGGAATGAATTTTGTGGATTCCCTAAATGAAGGTACTTACGTAACCAATGTGATAGTACCGGCCTTCCGAGCAACATTGAAGAATCTTCCTCTAGGAAAAAACACATTCGTTAGCAGTTCCGAACGTCAAAGTAGTGCCAGTGCAGATAGAAAAGCTGATGGACGATCTGGGAGACGGCCAGATGTTATGTTTGTAATGAAACACAATGGAAAAAATTACGAACTTTTATTTACCGAATGCTCTCGCTTGTCATGTACGACAAAAAAAGAAAGAGATGATCAAGTGAAGTTGTGGCGTGAGATTAATGATGGGATGTACTGGGCTCGTAAAAGTTGTAAGCCTGATAAGGATGAATTTGGCATTATCGGAGTACAGATAGCTGGAAAAAAAATATGTTTGAGCGTTCTTATAAGGGATATGAGTGAGGTTCATCGATATTATCATCTTCATGAATCAGAAATTCCGGTTCAACTATCAGATCTATCCATTGTAGAAAAATTCGTAGAAACATTACTGATATTACGAAATATTCTGATCATTAATATGAGCATACTGTACAATGCACCTTTAAAAAGATCAAATCGGAATGTAGAAAAAAGCTCTACAATTTCTTCACCTATGCGAGATAACTAGAATTCCTTAACATTTTTTATCATGTATTTTTATTTTTTACTGTATCAATAAAGTGGCCCTTGCGGTCGATTTCGCAAATATACATTCATGTTTTTATTTGAGGCATATATCGAATAATAAAATTTTCTTGACAAATTTCAGTTCCGCTTAGATCAAAGAAAAGTTCTGACGTGAGATTTCTGCTTAGGAGAATTATTGGGTGGATTGTAGACTGAATTATCATATAGGTTTATTTTTTTTTCAGCTGAATCGAGATCAGCAAATTAATAGACATTAGGGTTGCCATATTTGCTCCATGTTTTGCGACGATCGTAGCCAGAATTGCGAAATTGGAATTGATAAAAAATTTAATGTCTGTACCGCAAAACACGTGATTTGATCATAGTTGTATTACTAGCAAATCTCTCGTGATATTGACGCGTAAATTTCGTCTTACTCAATAGTTTTGAGGAAAAATTCTTCTCATTAGTTGGGGGTACTTTTTTCCTTGTACTTCTGTAAAGTAAAATCCCGGTCTAGATCACGCGCTTTTTAAGGATCTATATAAATCAAAGGTTCACCCATTCTCTTTTATAATCATGAAAAAAGAATGTCATTCCGCAGACCTCACCCAAGGCAAAGAAGAACGTGTGAAGAACATAAAGCTGAGCTGGAGGAGGAGAACTTTCATCTTCGTAATAAATTGCAGACAGAGGTAGATATTAATTGCCAGAATGAGAGACGAATTAATCAGTTAGAGCGAGATTATTCCCGGTGTAAGCAAGAAATGCAGGATCTCAATAGGGAAATAGAGCGTCTTGAGAATGCTTCAGAAGAAGAGATATTGGAACTGAAATCTGAAATCTCCACTCTAAAATCTCAGCTATATCAAGCAAGAAAGAATGTACGAAATAAGGATAATTATATAGTTCACTTAAGTGAACAATTATTAGAGTCTGAAGAGCAAGTTGAAAAATTGCGATGCCGGATCAAGACTATCTCATCACGGAAAAATTCTTCAGAGCGGGGGAATTCTCCAGACTTGTATAATCCTAATATTAACTTAGAAATGGCTACCATCACAGAGCTAGCAAATGCTATAGATGGTTATGTGGATAATAGAGCAACAACTAGGGATATTCTTATAGACCAAATAAAAAGAGCTACAAGGCAGATTCGCCGAAAAGAGAATAATTTGCAACGGGATATATTTCAAGAACAACAGAGGCGCTATAATGCAGAAGCCGAACGAGATAATGAAATTATACGAAGACAACTCGCTGAAGGTGGGATGGCTAATGTTATTGGTGATCTCCATCAATATCAAACTAATGCTCAAAACCAGGTAAATAGAATGATAGGTAATATGACAAGAAAACAAGCCCGTATAGGTGTGCTGGTACAAGAAAAATTTGCCTTACAATTATTGTATCAGCGAAATGCTCACCACCTACAGCAAAGTAGAGGGGATATAGGTTTATTAGAATATAATCGAGATAGGCTCTATGAGCGATATGAGAAATGGAAAAATAAGACTCGAGCAGAATGCCAGAATATTTTAAATTTGCAGGGACAAATTTTGGCGCTTCAGAATAATCCACCAAATCAAATAAACATGGCAGGAATACCTCATCCATATTTTGACTGGGATGATAGTATCCCAGACTTTCTTGCGCAACTTAGACTAGACTTGCATAATTGGGGAATATATCTAAATGATAATATAGTAGGAAGAGATAATGCAATAGGGCATTTAAGAGGCTATATAAGAGGAAGGACTTTAGAATAGTTCGATGATGAGATTACTACAAAGCAGAATTGGGAGTTAACTAACTTACTTGATAATACAGGGCAGGCTAACTTAGTTGCAATAAATGGGCGAACTGCAGTACAGATAAGAGTTAATGCATTAAATGAGGCTGTTGGCCAACCAGGAAATGCAATAGTCAAGTTAAGAGCTGTAGAAGATGCTTGG